CTGCAGATCAATTACTCACTGTCAACACACGTTATTCCGTCACGCCGCCACCCTCCCATATATATATACCAGACCACCCTATATCTAGCAATCTCCCGACTATTCCCGAAGGTTCGAGAGGTGGCGTGACACCAGCCACGTGACCTCGCTGACGCAACAATACATTTGGGCAATGACCTAACTTAGAAGTGATTAGTTTTTGGAGGGTCAAGGTCAAGAAAATCCAAAAAATTCCTATGTTAACATGGGAACCGATTTTTCACACAATTTTTGCTCTATAACTCAGTCAAAAATGATCGGATTTTTATGAAACTTGGTGGACATATGTAGAATATTATTCCTCATTGTCCTTCCAAACATAGTTCGCGTCTATTGATAATGACGGACGTACGAACACATTTTAATATTTTTTGAGAGCCGAATATGATCAACGCTGAGTGGGGGAGTATGCGCTCTACTGAGTGTTCCCCCCCCTCTGGTATATTTTCTTGGTTTCGAATTTGTTACTAAAACAATTGTTATTATAATTTTTTAAGTATATATAAATTTCCGACCGGTAGAAGGTCTATAGCTTCAAATAACGTATCTTTATTTATTTGTCCAGTTCTAATATCCTGATATACAGACACCCAAGATTGAACTGTTTTGAATATCAAAATGAGGTGGGCCTTCGAAGCCTCGCGCCAGCCATGTTCACAGGTGGACTTTTCATGTGGGTCCCGGATTCCCAAAATTGTTAATTTTGTATATCTTGCCAACGAACCTATACGAGTGGGTAATGAGTGTCACCAGATGGCCTTCTGGGCACAAAAACTATTAATTTACCACTTTCATGAGTTGAGTCAGACCGGTTCGTGTAGAGCAGCTGTAATTATTTCATTTAGAAAATATTTTAATTTCTAACGACTTGCTGTAAAACAAACAATATATAAATTGTTTTCAGTTGTCTTCGTAATATTTTGTTTAGTGTCAGTCGTAAAATACTAACTTACATCTATCTAGAGGTCAGTACTACTGACTAAACAGCAAAGGGAAGAAGTATTTGTCTATCCGTTCAATTTTCTACCTATCTCTGTGGCACTGAAGACAATTTTTCAACAAATAGAATATAAATATTTTTCGGGAACTGTTTGCCTATATCATGAACATGTTTTCAGGGGTTGTTTATCTCTGATCTGAAATCTGACTTCGACACGTGTTCTGCTACATGCCATGTTGGACTAACTGATTTAATCTTCTAGGTGTACTAGTGATAACATGTGTCAATAATGGAGAAATCTCGTGTTTTTGAGTGCAAGTACCGAAAATAGCCATAGTCTGGTCTCCTGTTGTTGTCCTCGATATAGAAACTAGTGACACATAGCGGGTTTGTTCAGCTCGTTTTGTTACAGGTAGGAAATTATTTAAACTTATAAAACAAAACAACTCCCATTACCGTTAAAACGCCCTCAGCATTATGGGTTATAAGTGCACTATAAGAGTAACAGGCAAATTCCACTGTTGTATCAGAGAGGAGTGGCCCAAGAGTTGGCAGTGGGTGCTGTTGACTACCTACCTTCCGTGTAGTCTATCAGTTCAAAATTAGAAACGGCTAGTGCAGTTATAATTTGTGTATAATGTTTTTGTTAACATAGGTTTACATATATATACACGCATGCAACAGACTGAATAAATATATGTATATATATATATATATATATATACATGTATGTGTGTGTGTATATGTATGACTTCTTAGTATATTAGTTTTGCGTTTTATTAAACATTTGTTAACAGTGGATTTTGTGTCGTATTTTATGGATAAATTTTATATAATTGTAACATCATCATCATCATCGGAATTTAGGTGTTCTGTAGATCAGTGAGGGTCAGGTGCAGTTTGACCGCTTCCCTCTCTTCTTGATTGATATTTTAATACAGGCTTGTAGTTTTTTGTTTTTTTTTCTGTTTCACCATTCAGGTCTATGTGCAGGTGAAGCTCTGAAATGGGTGACTTTTATTTTTAATTGTTTTTTGATTACATGATTGTGTGGTATTTTGACTCAAGAATAAGTGTGTGATGTTTGTATTAAACAGATATAAACCGTTGTTTAGCTACTTTTATTTGTATGAAATCTATGAATGTATTGTTGCGTCAGCGAGGTCACGTGACTAGTGTCACGCCACCTCTCGAACTTTCGGGAATAGTTGGGAGATTACTAGATATAGGGTAGGCTGGTATATATACAAGAGGGTAACAATGTGACGGGACAATGTGTGTAGGTAGTGAGTAATTGAACTGCAGTCAGGAAGTATTTATTGTTGAAGTTAACGTTCGTTGTTAAAACGTTTGTAAAAGAGCGACTGTTGAAAATAAGTGTATCGGTAAAGTTATATTCAGAAAGAATAAACCAGTTTTATTAAGTAAGGACTTGTGTCGCTAAAGTTTTGTCGGAACGAAGTTACGGAAAATCAATTAACAAAAGGAGACGTAACAGTACTTTTAATGGCTTCTGAGATTGGATTTGGTTCGGTTTCAAGTGTATTTGTTGGTTTGTTTGCTATGATTTGATTTTTGTTATAAATTTGAACTGTTTGGTTGTTACTTGATTCAGTAGTTGTGCTGCCTCTGTGTTAGTGTATCTTGTTGTCTGTGTGGGTGTGGTGTGTGTCACAACTTCATTGTTTGTTTGTCGAATTTCGCGCAAAGCTACTTAATGGCTACCTGCGCTAACCGTCTCTAATTTAGCAGTGATAGACTGGAAGGAAGGCAGCTAGTCAACCCATCCCACCGCCAACTCTTGGGCTACTATTTTACCAACATGTTTGGTGGTGGGATTCGAACCCACGACCCTCAGATTGTGAGTCGAGTGCCCTAATCACCAGGCCCTCGCAACTTTATATAAGTTCCTACGAGCAAGCTACTGATACAGTGTTTTTGTTTGTTGTTTAGCATTATAAGCCGTCAGACTTACCATTGAACCACCAGGGGTCAGCAGTTCGGCAGTAGAAAGTACACAAATTGTAATATTTTTTGTAATTTGTTCGTTCATTTCGGAAACTCGCACAAAGCTACACAAGATCTATTTGCGCTAGCCGTGCCTAATCTAGAACACATAAACTACAGAAAGGCAGCTAGTTAACAGTACTCACCGCCAACTCTTGGGCTACTCTAATCGAATAGTGGGATTTGAGATGTATATTTTCTTAAGATTTTCCTCTTGGCTAAAATCCAATGCATTATTCATATGACAGGCCAGATATGTGTGTTTTGTGAACGATTGTTGCCCTAATCAGATTTAGATAATCTTGATTTGACAGAGTTATTAGAATAAATAAAATAATCCAAATATCTAGTTTAGATGGAAAACGGCCATAAGTTGTGAGGTGAGACCGCTTTGTTATTGTTAGTTCGACTGGCGGGCTTTGAAAGTTCAACACGTAACAATGGCGGCCGCTTGCACATGGTGAAAATAACGTGACTTCCGATCTAGTGTTATTTATAACTATGGTCTACGCTATTTACGCAACGACACCTAATGTTCAAAACTAGACTCACATAATTACAGAAAATAATACGTATTCACATTACAATAATATGTAAGTTTAGGTTATTCTGTTTCGAAAAAAAAAGGAAAAGTGTAACGGAATAAAAACACGAAGTACTTAAAAATTTAACTATTCAAGATACTCTCTTTGCATATTACTCATTTAGAACACTTTCTGTTATACAGTTTAGATAATAAAGAAGCTCTCTGACATTGCCACAATATTACTTTAAAATGTAATCCTACATTACCATAACACAGATTGTAAATAACTAGTTGAAACTAGAGCTGCCCTAGCCAACAGCTCAAGTAATTACGCAAAAATATAAATATATAATTTCTTGATAGCGACAAAATGACTATATTATTGACCTCCCAGAAAGTGCTTATGTAATTTTATCTGTATAAGATAAGGTTGAGGTACAAATATGCATCATCACACGTTATTTTCACCTCTTCAAGTTGGTTTGTTACAGTGTAAGATAAAGGCATAAGGTTGAAGGACAGTTTTTACGTTATCACATCCTATTTCTGTCTCCTACGTCATAATGAGTTAACTTTAAATGCTTCTGTAGTTCAAAAACACATTAACAAATGAGTAAATGCATGCAGAGTTTACAGATAATTTAATTCCGCCCCCTCCCCTCCACCCCGTACATATTGGCTCAGCAGTAAATCTGAAGGCCTAAAAACGCTAAAAATCGGGTGTCCATACACTTGTGGTGGGCACAGGGCAGAAGATAGCCCATTGTGTATCTTTGCGCTTAACAACAAAACAAACCAATGAATAATTAAAGGAAGAACCTTGTTATGTAAAACTTAAATCTTGCTTATACTTGCAAAGTATAATATTTACGGTTACAACATTTCACCCCGTTAACCTGACATCATTAGGTACAACAACTACCAGGAATGAGCTCCTGATCTAGATAATACAAAAAAAAAAAACTAGCGGATGGATACATTGATATTTGCTTAATATAGAAAACTGGAATTTGTGTCAAAATATAAATTATGGAAAGTTTGTTAAACTAAAGGTTGTTCAACTCCAAACACCACTGAAAGTCAGTTAAGCTTAACCCCCCTCAGTGACGTCATATGCTGTTAAAGAACTGGGAACTTCTGTTATAAATTAATCATTATGTGTTTCTCTCAACAACTAACTGTCGAACAGAAGAAGACACGTGAAAGTGTCGAATATTGTAAAAAAATTAATTTGATATTGTTCCGAAATAGTGGTTCAAAACATTATTTTAAATGTTACCAGTTTTGGTTGTATATTTTCTTAACGATTACAAGGATATTAACATTCTAATAGTAGATAATACACATTTCGGAACAACATTATACTGATTTTTCTACAATATTTGGCACTTTCACGTGTCTTCTTCTTCTTCTTTCCAACGATTAGTTGTTAAGAGAAACACACACACAGTGTTGAATTTAAAATTGCAGTTCCATATGACGTCAGAGAAGTGGTTCCAGCTTAAATTGACCTTCAATGGTGCTTGAAGTTTAGGAACTTCCGGATTAACGAACCTTCCACAGGTTTTCTTTTGGCATACATTCCAGTTGATTCTATAATCAAAATTCTTCATGTATAGAAAAATAGTATTATATGTTTGACCATTTGCATTATCTTTCTTTGTGTGTGTTTTCCGTATTATCTAGATCAAGGGTTCACACCTTGAAGTTATTGTACCTGATGATGTCAGGTTAACCTGATGAAACTTTGTAACCATAAATATTACTCTGTGTATCCAACAATAAACAACTTTTAAGTTAAATAAACCGTTGCCTGGTGATCAATCGTAAAAATATTTTTTTCCTCTTCAGAACATCAGATTCCATGTGGGAATAACGCAAAGCAACGTAGTTAGGTAACAATGTTAGAAACAATTACTATTGTACACCACACATACCTGATATAATTATTATTGTATGTAAAGCATAAAAGCTTAATTAAGACCCTTCATAGACACTGAACATAGTTAACGCTGACGGAAACACGCAGTTCTTCCTATTGAATAAGAACTTCCTGTTTGTGATCTCTCATGGAATATATCTACATAGGAATGTTAAACTTCTGCCTAGTGCTATTGATTGGTTCGTAACGTGAGGTAGTTTAAGTATGACTGAAAAAACATAACTGTAGCATTTCACTAGTTCCGGACTTTATCACGAAACCAAACTTATCTTTAAATATTTTTGCAATATATTATTATCAGTCGTTTTCACAAACAAGTCGAATTCTGATACATCCAAAAATATATCCTAAGTGTATATCTTCTAACTTCATACTTTTATCGTAATTTTTAACTGCCAACTTACAATTAACTTCCTCTCCGATATTTAATCAATTGATTTGGAAATAGGCAAACAAATCATGATTTGTTCTAGACATTGCAAATACCGATTTACCAAGGAGAGTCATGCATGATCTCATTTATGTAATGAATTTTTAATATTCACTTTTTTAAGCCGCGGCATAACGGTTCAGAGAATGGCTCCTAGTTTTTCAAGTACAAACTTGTATCTCAACTCCGTCATCTCTTGACGGATTTGAGGTCTAGTTACAATTTTAGACTCAAGAGGTCAAACCCTTTCGATTGGTGTATTTGACCACGTTCAAGGTCTCATAGATTAATTTACTCTAATCCTGTCTAAAACAAATTCAATTTGAGATCCTAATTTTATTTATTTATTTTATAGGTTTATGAAAAAAAGTCATAAAAAATAAAAAACATTTTTTTATATTTTGCTTAAACTTAAAACTACTAGAGGACTACCTGTGGCATTCTGCGCAATCCGTCATTAATTTTAAAGTGATAGACTAGAGGAAATACAGTCAGTCAACATCACCC